CCTCCTCCGCGGAGGTCGAGGCGCCGCTGCCCGGACAGGATGCGTTTCGCCAGAGGCAACTCCAGCGGGGACAACGCCACTCGGGAAGGCGGGGGTCCGCCGAGGGACGGGCGCGACGAGGAGCTGGCCAAGGCGGAGGTCGCTGTGCTAGCCGTGATTTTCGTGGTGGCCGTGCTGGGGAACAGTAGCGTGCTGCTGGCGCTGCACCGCACGCCCCGCAAGACGTCCCGCATGCACCTCTTCATTCGCCACCTGAGCCTGGCCGACCTGGCTGTGGCTTTCTTCCAGGTGCTGCCGCAGATGTGCTGGGAAATCACCCACCGGTTCCGGGGACCCGACGGGCTGTGCCGCGTGGTGAAGCACCTGCAGGTGTTCGTCATGTTCGTGTCGGCGTACATGCTGGTGGTCATGACCGCGGACCGCTACATCGCCGTGTGCCACCCGCTGAAGACGCTGCAGCAGCCCGCGCGCCGCTCGCGCCTCATGATCGCCGCCGCCTGGGCGCTGAGCTTCGTGCTGAGCACGCCGCAGTACTTCGTCTTCTCCGTGGTCGAGGTGGACAACGTCACCAAGGTCTGCGACTGCTGGGCCAGCTTCATCCAGCCCTGGGGTCCCCGCGCCTATGTGACCTGGATGACCAGCGGCATCTTCGTGGTGCCGGTGATCATCCTGAGCACCTGTTACGGCTTCATCTGCTACCACATCTGGCGCAACGTCCGCGGGAAGACGGTGCCCCGCGAGGGCAAGGGCGCCCAGGGCACTGGCGGCGCCTTCCACAACGGGCTCCTGCTCGAGCCCTGTGTCAGCAGCGTGAAGATCATCTCGCGCGCCAAGATCCGCACGGTGAAGATGACCTTCGTGATCGTGACGGCTTACATCGTTTGCTGGACGCCCTTCTTCGTCGTCCAGATGTGGTCCGTCTGGGATGAGAAGTTGCCCTGGGCCGGTAGGTGTCGGGGACCGTGGAGGAAGGTGCTGGGATGGAGTCCTGACGGGGCGGGGCGGGGGGGTTCTTTTCATAATATCCCCTAGGTCCTAGGCAAACTGGGCTCGCCAGCCACATGCGGCTCTTTGGCCCCTTGAGTGTGGCTCTTCCTAAGCCTTAGGCGCACCCTAATTAAGTTAATAACAATGTACCTACCTATATAGTTTAAGTTTAAAAAATTTGGCTCTCAGAAGAAATTTCAGTTGTTGTACTGTTGATATTTGGCTCTGTTGACTAATGAGTTTGCTGACCACTGACCTGGGACAGTTTTTCTTAAATTTCTGTGTGCATGAGAATTACACCTTGGGTGAAATTCTCAACAGGGCATATTCCTGGGGTCCCCACCTCAGACGTTTTGATTCAGTAGCTCTGGAATGGGGCCCAGGGATCTGCATTTGTAGCTTGCAGTGATCCCGGGACCACAAATCCAGAAACCATGCCCTAAAGTGAGCTACACAACTCCAAGACAGGATGACTTCCTTTTTCTCAATAAACTTGAATAATCCCCCTCCATAAAGGCCTTCACGTGTTAGATCTCTTCCTAGGAGTTTTATGCTAGGAAGTTTGTTAATGCTACAGTAAGTTTATTTTTTAATTACATTCTAACTGGTTGCTGCTGATTATAGATAGATTGTTGCTATGTGTTGATTTTGAATCCAGAAACCAAGCTAAACTTTTATTGTTGTTGTTTTTAATTGTGGACACTATTACAGATGCCCTCCATTTGCCCCCATTTGCACAGTTTTTTGTGTCTTTGGGCAATGCATATATGAATGACTTTTTGCCAATCATTAACCTCTATGTTAAGTACCCTGCTTTCAAATCTATTGGATTTAAGGAAATCTTTTTACTGTCACAACTGCTTTTTGTTAGCTTGTAAAAAGTATCACAATTAATAAAGACATTTTGTGGCAAGACTAAAATGTACATTTTTTTTCTGAAAAAAGGAGTCTTAGGAAGTCAATAATTCTAATTTGGCATTTAGCTAGTACTCCAATTCTTATAATCCTTTTCTAACAACTACTTGAACAATCTTTGGGGGCGATTTCAAAGTACAATTATTAATAAACTCTAAATTTGTTAAGTTAATTAATTAGTCTTTCAGCAATAAAAGACCATACAGCTATACACCTCTTCGTGCATACTAGCTTGTTTGATTTTAATTCCTTCACAAACTAGAAAAACTAACTTCACTAGAATGTACCCCAAAAGAAATGATTTAATATTGTATCTTGAAAAATATATTTCCTTTTAGTAAGAAAAAAAGTTGCAAAAGAACTCTATTACAGGAATGTTACCAACAACTGTAGTTGAGAAATGGGTATCTGGGAAGAACTGTCTTCTTGTTATTTGGGATTCACTAGGGAGTATATGTGAAATACTGCGGAATTTATATGTGCAAATTAAATATTTGAGCGTGAACTTAATTCAAAGAAATGAAAATTCATGCATGACTATAATGTTACTGATGAAAAATACAACATAAATGCTACATTTTTGGTTTACCATTTCTTGTCTTGCTTGGTCTTAGCAGCCTAATTATTGCCAATCAAATAAAAAATCAGCCTAATAATTACTTATAGGAATTTAGACATGATTACTAAAATATTCTTCACTTATATGGAAGTATGATTTCCATTCTTTTTTGAATATTCTTAGCCATGGATAATGACCACCTTTAAAAGTATAGCATCTTAGCACAAAGTATGATTAAATAACATGTAATTTATTCTGGCATAGCATGAGTGAGAAGACACAGGCTTGTGTTTTATAATCAAGGGAAAGTCAGTGCTTGATAATTATTGTTATCTTCAGAAAAGGCATATTATCTATTGTTCTAGTGTGAAAGTGAAAGATTATAATACGTATGCAGTTTAATAGGGCAAACTAACATAAAATGTTTCAAAAGCCTGTTGGAATTTCCTAATTCAACTGTTCTTAATATAATTTAATTTTTAAACCACAATCAAAGAAGGTTTTCTTTTTAAATTAAAAGAATTTTCTAATTAACCAAAAAAACACAAAAAACCACACAACAAACTAAATATTGCATCCTTCAGGGACCTATTTCAACTGTCCCCTTCTGTATAGTTTTGTTATTACAAGAATATTTTTTAATATTTAAAATTTAAAACTACTAAACATGGTGCAGGATGTCAGTCATACTTCTGCCTGAGTTATTGGGATGAATACAATTTGATGTATATGGTTATAGACTCTGGAAATTTCATCGCAATTGAAGCAGTTCTGTAAGTGCTGTGTCCTTTAGCACATGCTAGTACTAGAACAAAGGATACAAACTTCTAAAAAATAAGTTACTTAATATTCTTAACCTCTTAAAAATCCCACTTACTTATTCTACTTAAACATTTTAACAGTGTTTTTAAATATCTGAATTCATTTCAAGGCATTTTCCTTACAAAAATATTTTATAGCCAAGCAATTTCCATATACCACCTATTTCCCGGCTTGATAAACAAAAGTCTTCATTTTCTATATTAACCCACAAATCTTTCCTACCTTCATTAGTCAATAGGAAAATAATTTTTTTTGCTTGCATTTGACTATTTGAATAATCTCTGCTTATGATTTCCCTAGATTCGGAAAACCCAGCCATCACCATCCCTGCATTGCTGGCTTCCTTGAATAGTTGCTGCAACCCCTGGATATACATGTTTTTTAGTGGCCATCTCCTGCAAGACTGTGTCCAAAGCTTCCTGTGCTGCCACAACATGAAGCAAGCATTCAACAAAGAAGATTCTGACAGTATGAGCAGAAGACAGACTTCTTACACTATCAACCGGAGCCCGACAAACAGTGTGGGTGCTTGGAAGGACTCACCTAAATCTTCCAAGTTCATAAAATTTATTCCTGTTTCAACCTGAGCCCCTCATTCATGCAACTGACTCTTGGGACAGACTTTCTTGCCCATTGGCTGAATCCGGCTCACAATCTTGAGAACAAATGAACTATATCAAATAAGCATATGTCAATTTGTTGGGTATAAGACTGTGTTTCTGGTTGCATTTTCATATTGCTATGACCAAATGCTATGAATTGGTTTATACAGAATGATAATAAAAACATGCTACACTAAAATGGTCAGGCCTAATTCCCAGAATATAACAAGTTCCTGAAGGAAATATCACAGATGTTTCTAAAGGAAAAATCTTGACCATCCTGACGTTATATTTTATTGTTGGTTTCTTCTCTTTTTACTTCTGATATAACTAAGGTTTGATTGGTTTAGAAGTCATATAATGTAGGGGCCTTATTTCTGAACAAAGTGAGCTCACCATCCATCAGCGTTAGAGTTGGAAACAAATCAGAAAAGACATCAAAGAAATTGTTTCCATTCAATAAAATCAATTTATACATCAGAAAATGCGGCCTCAACCAGTGGCCTAGAGATGGGATGGCGCCTTGGAGAAGCATGAGCAGGGGCGTGTCTGGTTCAGAGTGGAAAGAAGAAAGTTTTATTAGAAGCTATAAATCACCTAAAATTCCAAAACAGGAAGTTTAGAACTGTCAGTTCCCTCCTTTTGGTTCCTCGGTGCTTTATTGGTTGTGAAATGCCAATGGACTAAGATGCAGAAGGTTAGAAAAACGTGTCAACTCACTGATAATACTTTTCTTCTCCTGCAAGGTTGTTCTAAATTCACAGTTGTATCAGGAATACTCAGTTTTATTAGAAAAGTAGAAGCGGATTGCCCAGGGTACTATGCAGACTTTCTCTAGAACAGTGTAAACATGTTTTGACCAGTGTCAAACTATAACACTGCCATTGGTCAATACCCTTTTACAAAACGGTTTGCTAGATATTAACATGATCATTGCTTTACAGTTGGGGATTCCAGACTCATAGATAAGAAAGTCTGCTAAAGAGTGACTCGAGACATATAATGTCCCCTAGCATTTAATTAAAAATAACTTGGTTTTTCCTTCCCATCTCCCACCCTTTTAACAGTGTGGATAGAAGAAAGGCAGGGTTTCTACCAGGATGCAGAGGGAGATAGAAAAAATAAAAAAAACTGCTCTGTACCTCCTCTGGTTTTCTTCATTGTTAAATGCATGACTTTAGGCAAAGTCTTTAAAAATACATAAAGCCTCTATGTCCTTGGCTATACAATGGAGTTGATAACTCTCCTCACAGAGCCACTGTGAGGACTAAATGAAATAAGTGTGTAAAAGATCTTCATAAATAAACTGCCAAGTGCTATACAAATGTTGTTTTATTATAGTCTTGGGGCCTTGAGAATCTCTCAGCCTTTTTGTTTACTTTTCATTAACCAGAATTTGTTGGTTTCATGTCTGGGATATAAAATCCTGAAACTTAAATATAGCTTCGCTGATTCATTGGAAAGCACTGCCAGCATTGCTGAGCCTGACTTCTGCCTAACTGTTTCCAACTTTAAAGACAGGACTTGCTTTCCTTTGAGTGCAGGTAAATCAAAGCCAGCCGAGAGCATCAGCTTCTTTCATTTCCAAACAGAGATAAATCACAACACTACTTGGCAGCTGTTACTGCTTTTTTTTTTAATTAATGGAACTCAGTGGGTTTATTCTGGCTAGTTTGGCTCCTTTTCCTTCTTAGAAACCATGCAATAATTTGAGGATACATCATAAATATTTGGCATCTCTTAAAGGAAGTAATAGTTATTTTAATAGTATTGTTGGTGGTATTATTATTATTATTGTTGTTATTATTATTATTAAATAACTCTAGATAAGAAACTGAGGACTGGATTGCTCTGTGAGAACCTGAACCCAGCAACTTCACTCCTCTTCATTTTCTTGCCTCTCCAAATTCTCAGGCCTTTTACTCCCTGGATTGATATGCCTTAAAAAGAAGTTTGCAAATGTTCTATGGATAGTAGGCCCTTAGGTCTTAGAAGTCTGCTTTTCAAAAATAAAAAAATATGTTTCTTAAAGGGTACCCTCCAATATGAGGTATCAATTAAATTAATTCTTTATTAGTTGAGGCATGGCAGCATCTCAGTAACCCTGCTCTCTGTAACATTGTCAGCTTTTCGACACCTTCTCTTTGATAATTCAAAAACGAAATCCTTTGGGTTGGATAAAAGATGAATCCACTTCTTTTTTCTAAATCTAGTTGCAAAAGAATAACTTCATGATTCTTGTATAGACTGCCAAATATAAAACAATTCAGTTTCAATTTTACTTCTAGGTACATCTATCAAATCAGGTGCATATCAACCTACCCAGCCATGTTTTCTCCTTTTAAATACATGAGATGAGATACAGAACAAATGCTGGGGAGACCCAGAAGATCCAGTGCTAGTTCTGCACTAAGCAAGTATGTGGTCTTATTCTCTGAGGTTTAGGCTTGTAGTTAAGAATAAATGTGTTGTACCACCTTCTTTTATTTTGCAGAGTTATCTGGAGGGAGATCCTGCAAGTACACCATATTAATGTATCTATGTGGATATGGGGAAATGACTGATAGATAATCACCTGCAGGAAGAAACTGGTGATATTGTCCACTGGGCATGTGATAAATATTAGTTGATGACGAAAAAATAACATTTTAAAGTATATAATGTACTTAATGGATTAATTTTTGGACATGTGTTTTCAAGGTATAAAACTACTCAGCTTTTATACTAAAATATCATTTGGAACCTAACTGTGAAGAAAATTAGTGAAATTCGACGGTTAATTATATACTTGCCATACATACAGAATTTCTTCAAAGCAGTCTTTAACCATGATTGAGGGAAGGGTGTGGTTTTTAAAGGGAAAAAGAAAAATCAAGTAGTCCTAATAACATGCAGTACCCTCCTAAACATATCACAGTTCTTAGAATGGACAAACCATTGGTGATTAAAAAACACAACTTTAATCTGGTATAGCACAAGTAAAGCAATCCAATTATATTAAAATTTTATAAACTTTAGATTCTAAAACATACATTTTTGTAATGTAATTGGACACTCAGAGCTTTAAATTATTATAGCTTCAGAGTTTTCTCTACCACGAAAGCATAATTGGAGCTATCTAGGGAGACATCGAGCCCAGCTTCACCCTGGATATCAAAGATAAGTCTCCTTTCAGTCCACGTAAACTGAGCCCTAATGGATTTTCATTCTGGAGGCAACGGCTCTATTTAAAGTAAGCCCAGGCAGGGCAGCTGGGATGCTAGCCCAGCGGGTGCGGAAGCAGCCATTCCCCACTTCCTCTCTCTCCTTTCCTGTGGCCCTTTTAGCACACTCAGTGTCCTCAGCAGCACCGGAATCATGAGTAACACAGAACAATAACTATTAGAGAATAATTCTTTATTCAAATTTGAGCAAAAATTTAAGTCCTACTCATAAGAAGAGTTATGTTCTCAAGGCAACTGAAATGGCTGTGTCACACAAATTGTGTGATTTCATTGCCTGCCAAAGCATTTGAAAAATATTGTTCTAAATCAATTTTTAGATATAGTAATTTATCATGAATAAAAATATATTTTATCTATCGTATGTCATATCAAAAATATATATATTATGGCTCAATATTAAATGCCATTATTTACTTTTTTATTTTATATAATATAAACTCACATCACATCTTTTTACATTGATTATATTCCAAATAAAAACAAAGTGTCATGGAGCGAGTTAAATATTTTTGTGTCGCAGGGTCAAATTAGGAAATACAGAAAAGAAACTTCGAGAATAAATCTGATAGTAATATCAGAATAATTATTAATTATTATTCATATGAAATAATTAGCATTTCCACACATGAAGGTAGTTATATTTATATCATGGGATTTATGACATATTCTATGATGTATTAGCTCCTTATTATAACAAATGTATTAAGAATTAATGTTGTATATTTAGTATTTTATTTTGGGAACTATTATTCAAATGTTCTATATCCCCTAGCTTATTATGCTATTACTAGAGGCCCAATGTACAAAATTCATGCAAGAGTAGGCCTTCGCAGCCCCAGCTGCTTTGGCCCTCACAGCCCCGGCTTCGTCCAGAAGGTCGTCCAGACGGTTGTTCTGCTGTTCGGCCGTTCAGTCGATTTGCATATTACACTTCTATTATTATAGATAGATGAATTTCAATGTGTATTCTTGAGGAAATTGTATGGTTCTGGTTTTGATGGATGTTGAAATGTTTTGCATTGTACCTAATATTTGGTCCTTTACTGAAAAAATGTCTTGTGGCATTATATTGAAATAAGTGGTGAATTTATTTCTTAATTTTACTGTGTATTGGCTTGATTCTACAAATAAAACTAAATCTCAAAGTTGTTTGAAATAATTTTTTTACAACTTAGTTTAATAATGAAATATATTTCAAGTTATTATGCTGATTTTGATAAACTTAAATGCTTTACAGCTGGTAGCTATTGATAGCTTTACATTTGAATACAAAGATGTTCCTGCTTATATTCTTTAACTGTATCCAGAACAGATAAAACTTCATAATTCCATTTTCAATAAATTACAATAATGAAAGCAAATTAATTGTATTTTAGTTTGTATTAAGACAACCAAAATAATCAGTTAACTGAGGTCAGGTATGTCATCCTAGCCTAAAAATGTCATCTCTGTCTATTTGCCTCTAGAAGTTTGAGACTGAATTCTGGGCTCATATATCAAATCTCTTTCCTGTCTCATAGTCTTTAAAATTGGAATTCTTTACCCTATGTACTAATAAATTCAAATCACATTAAGTTTCCATTTATTTTTTTTTCTTTGACAAGTTAAACCCTAGTAGCATGGACTAAAAGGCTTATTTTGGGTTTGGCTTAAATTCTAGAAACAGTGAATGCCCAGAATGGAAGAAAGGGAATTTGAAGTCTCTATTTTAAAATACTGTTATTCTAGAACTCACTGTTATTTTAAAAGACTTGTAAATGCTTAAGCATAAACAAGATTTCTACCAAAACATGTTTTTAAAAGGTCCTATCAATCAGGTAAAATTGAACTAATAGTTCCATTGTATACCAGAAGATACTCATATAAAGAAATGCACTAGTGGCCTGGTCAGTGTGGCTCAGTGGTTGAGTATCTATCTATGAACCAGGCGGTTGCAGTTAGATTACCAGTCAGGACACATGCTTGGGTTTGAGACTCAATCCCCAGTAGGGGGTGTGCAGGAGGCAGCCCATCAATGATTCTCTCTCATCATTGATGTTTCTATCTCTCTCCCTCTCCCTTCCTCTCTGAAATCAATAAAACTATCCTATCTAATAATAGACAAAGATGCAAATTGACTGTACCTTCACTACATCCACCACTGGCTAATCAAAGCGATATGCAAATTAACCGCCAACAAAGATGGTGGCTAATTTGCATATACCAGCTGGGAGCGAAGACTGAAGACACCTTAGAAGGAAGCCAAGCAACAGAGCCGAGGTAGCGGAGACAGGCGGGAGAGAAGCGGCAGAGATGGGAGGGAGGGAAGCAGCAGAGAAGGGTGGGGTAGGAGTGGCAGAGAAGGGCAGGGTAGGAGTGGCCGAGAGGGTGGGGGAGGAGTGGCAGAGATGGGAGCGAAGCCCTATTCTTGCAGGAATCTTCCTGCAATGGGCCTCTAGTATTTTAATAAAAGAAATGCACTAGTGTAGGATTTATTAATTCATTCATTCTCTACCTTTAACCCTCCTTAATCTCTAGAGCTAAACATTTTCTCTCTTCTTTTCAAATGCCCTCTCAATATCTACACTATGACATACCAAAATGATTGCAGTGTTGGTTTATTGGTCTGTCTTCTCCACAATAATCGTAATTGTGTTTATCTTAAAAATAGGAAGTACTTCCTCTTTATCTTTGCATCTTCATATAGTAGCAGCAGTCTATAATATTTGGTTAATTAATGAAATTAATGAAGATATTAACACACACATATTATGATTAGCAGTTGGAAAAGCAAAGCAAAGTCTGTGTTTTTCCCTAGATTTAAGAGGAATCCCGAGGATTATTTCTAATCCCTGCTTCTGTTGAATTCTGAATCCACAGCCCATTAGTTTACTTCTTGGGACTACTCTTCTTCATTCATTCTCCTCCCACCTTTCTTCCAACAATTCTGATGAATGGGGTCCCCTAAAGGTTGGGGGTCTGGTGTGAGGGCTTAGATTATGCCTCAGAAGAGACAGTGATTCATATGCACTCCCCTAGAGGTTCATGGTCATCTCTTCTAAGGAGGGTTAATCTCTACTTATTCTTCCCTTTAGGACCTTGCTGGCTGCTATCTTTTTCAA